ACCCTAAACCCTAAACCCATCAGGGCGAGGCGCGGAAGACAGAACCTCGGTCCTTCGAGGAAAGGCGAAACCAGTTCGGAATCCTGGGCGCGAGACAGGGACTACCTTAAACCGTGTACCATAACCCTCTCTGTATCTGCCTTCGCTTCAATGGTTTAGTTCTTGAACATGTAGGAATCTGCCAGGATTCTGAGAAACCCTAAAACCTAAGTCCCTAAACCCGAAATCCTAAACCCTAAACCCTAAACGGTTTCTGTAAGGGTTCTTGGGAGTTCAGGTTGAAGGGGTGGGGGTTCGGGAGAAACTTGGTGGCAGAAGCCGCATAGGATGGCTGCTGCAGAGACTTTCGCTTTTCGGAATTCCGGGGTTTAGGAGATTAGGGTTATAAGCTTTGGAGAGCTAGGATGCTTTGGGGGCACGAAGATGCGAAGAGTTAGACGGAGTTCATTCCGGTATCGTGGCCCCTAAACCCTAAACCAAAAACACTTAAAGCCCTAAGCCCTAACCCTAAACCCTAAACCCTAAACCCTTGAAGCCCTAAACCCTAAACCCTTAAAGCCCTAAAGCCCCCCACGGCGGGCTCGTTTCAGGCCCTCAGCCTCCGGAGAGTCATAGCTTCTCCAAATTGGGCGCACGCTTCAAGCAACACAAGTTTGCAATGCTTCATGAGGTCTACCTTAAGAACCCAAAACCTACTTTTTCGTAGGGTCCCTATAAATCCCATATTAGGGTTTATAATAAGAACCTACAAAAAAGTGGGTTTTGGGCTCTTAAGGTAGGGTTTAGGGTTTAGGGGTTACCTGGGGATCCAAAACCCTACCATTTTCTGGCTTCCACCCTCTAATTAAGGGGTTATGACCTACTATTTCGTAGGGTTTGGGGTCACAGGTAGGGTTTAGGGTAGAAGCAGGTTTATGAGCAGCTTCCGTGGGGGTTACGTGAAATCGCAGCCGCTCCAGGTAGACTTATGAGTAGTTGGATTACAGGCAGCTATGGCCTTAAAGTTCTGAGAAACTCGTAGCAGTATCTTTTCATAAAGTTCGTACAGAACAAACTTGTAACGTAAGAATCCTATTGAAATACAATAAAACCTAAACCGTGAACCCTCGTAGAACCCTTATAGAGCCCCTAGTGCAGCATGTTCTGCTGATGAAGACTGGTATCTTCATTGGCACGAGTCAATCACGCTTGATCAAAAAGCACGCGGCGTGTAAACCCTAGGCCCTTCAAACCTTAAGCCCTAAACCCCTAAACCCCTTAACCCCAAAGCCCGAAAAGTGGCAGCCGATGCGCAAGTCTTCAAGGCCCAGTCGTCCAGCAGAGGCCTGAAGTCGCTGGCTTTGGTCTTGGGGCTTCTACTTGTGGAGGTTTTCTTAGGGTTTAAGGGTTAAGGGTTTAGGGTCCTTTTTTTAATAGGGTCTAGGGTACTTTGGGGTTTCAGGGTTTAGGGCTTGAGGGTTTAGGGCAAGTGGGCTTAAAAGTAGGGTAACTGTAGCAATAACCCAACATGCAGGGACTTGTAACCACACTTATACCTACCCATGAACCTCCAAGTGGGGCTCCTGAACGGTGTTGGCTTCAAGGGCTATGTTGAGGCTTAGGATTTAGTGTTTAGCCCTGCGGGCTTTGGTCGTGGAACTACCAGAGGCCTCAAAAAGTGTGTTGTAAGGTCTTAGACTGATGGTTAAAGGTTTCTAGTCAGCTGTATGGATTTTTGACAAGCGGATCGGCAAGGTCAGGTAGATGGTGTGGGAAATCTGGGTGCCATGACTTCTACAGGTCTAATGCAGGTGGTAAGTACCATCATTGCAAATTCATCAACAGGTATTCCAACAGAACCATATCGAAATCCTATACTGCACAAGTCCCAACACCCAACCCCCCCCCCCTAAAACCTAAACCCCAACTTCCCTAAACCCTAAACCGTCGAAACTGGGCCCTAAACCCTAAACCCTAACCCCTAAACCCTAAACTTTAAGCACGAGTTGGTCGTCCCGGCCCAGGTCGGTCGCCTTTCCAAAGAGGAGGACCCCGCACTTGGGCAGTTCTCTTGAGAGTCCCTTCTGGGTGGGACTTAAAAAGGGGCTCTAAATTAGAGCTTCAAAAGTAGGGTTTTAGGGTTCAGGGTTTGGGGGTTTAAGGGTTTACGGTTTAGGGGTTTAGGGTTTAGGGTTAGAGAACTACCCCCTAAGCCCTAAACCCTACCCCCCATTTCATGGGTTTGGTGGCCATCCGGAAACCGAACATTGCCCGAACCGCCCAGCTCAACAGGAATCCCAATTGGCCTGTTGAGGACTCCTCCCTTAATTACTAACCTATTTTAACCTTAAGCCCCAAAGCCCAAAACCCTAAACCCCACAGCCCCTCTTGAGCCCCTCTTGAACCTAAATTTTAATCCCAAAACCCCGGAGCCCCCCCAAAATACCCGACACAAACGCTTAAGCCTGAGGGGAAGGACGCCATCTCAGGGCGCCCACCGACCGAGAGCGTGCCCGCGAATGCTCCGGCAAACGGACCGGCGACCCGACCTGAGATCGAAAACCCTATTATTAGGGTTTAGGGTTTAGGGTTTAGAGCCTACCTGGGGATCCAAAAGCCTACCGTTTTTATGGGTCATAACGCGACTAGTTTGTAGGGTTTGGGGCGGTAAACCCTATACTGCTAAACCCAAACCCCTACACCTAAAACACCAAAATCTTGAACCCTACACCCTAAAACCCTTAGTCCTGAACCCCATAAGACTCGACGGGTATAAGGTTTATGGTTTCGTGTCGTGCTTTCGGATTTCTCTGAGGAATTTAACCCGAATGGAGCCCTTATAATCCTCAACAGCGAGCCCCTTCCCCCCAAATTCCCCTGACCAAAACCCTAAATCCTCATCCCCAAACCCCAAAACCCTAAAAACCCTAAACCCTAAACCCCAGACCCCTAAACCCTAAACCCCTCAGCCTAACTGAACCCCAAACATGGACTCCCCAAAGCCTACAAGCCCCAGCAAGTGCAATTCCTGAAGATCCCCAAACCTAAACCCACAACAACGCCCGCAGATAACTGCGAGAATCTAATACTACAATAGTATAGAGTAGTATGGCATGACCCAACGACCCTAAACCCAAAACCCTGAACCCCTAAACCCCAATTTTATTAAACAGTCTAATGAAACAGTACGCCCGAAACCTCAACCACCTTTGCAACATCCTCCTGAGCCCCCAGCTCAAGCCCTTGTGAAAGGTTTAGGGGTTTAGGGGTTAGGGTCTCGGTAATCTACAGCATTTGGGTTTTAGCTTCCAAATACTTTACTGCGACTGAAACCCACAATAGCCCCATTACGTAACCCTTCATGAAGACCCCTTGAAACCTCTGCAAAGCCGAATACGATACTTTGAATCCCGGTGAAATCTCCCTAAACCCTAAACCCTAAACCCTAAACCCTACCAATCAAAACCTTGGTGGAGCCGCGACGCAGCTGAGGCCGAAGACGCGTCACCAGCCTGCGAAAGGCTGCTGCGACCTTGGCTGAGGCGAGTTTTTCGGTGCATGTACGGATTTAGGGCGCAGGGTTTAGGTTCTAGGGTTTAGGGTTGATATGGCTTGAGGGTATAGGGTTTAGGGATTTTGCACCTTAGGGATCTTATGATCTGCAGCAGGGGCTTAAAGGGTCTATGATTTCCTGTGCGGGTGTAGAGGGTTAAACCGTCTTCGCGCGGTTTCGAGGGGCTTACGTAGGGTCCCACAGGGTCTTATATGGCTTTGCTTAATTTATAAGACGTTTTGGAAACTATTTATACCCTAAAGCCTAAGACCTTTATGGACATTGTCTTATTTTTGTTCAATGGCTTCCCAGCGGCTCCGACTACCCACGGTTGTCAACTGAGGGTTACGGACCTTTGATTCAGTACAGAATTTATAAAGTGTTGGGGCTTGGGGTAGGGGAGCTATTGGGTTTCTGTTTTCTGCTGGAGCTCTGCTTCTGGCCTTTATGAAGGTTCGGTAAGAGTAAACCCTGGACACTAAACCTTAGTTCGGGTCAGAAGCTTATGCAGAAGGTCCTAAAGCTTATCACCCCAAACCTAGAAGCCCAAACCAAAACCTCCAAACTGAAAGTCTTAAAAATCGATTTGGGGTTTGGAGTTTAGGGTTCAGGCATAAATAACCTTAGACCCAATACCGTACACCCCAACTCCATTCTTACCTGGCCGCCGCCATCTCCGTCCGAACACTCCGGCTCCTTCTTCTTGCCTGGGCGCGTTCGAGTCTGGCTTAGAGGCTTAGAAGAAATAACAATCTCCTGGCCCCAAAACTCGAAACAAGGACACCTAAACCCTAAAACCCTAAACCCTAAAATCCCTAAAATCCCTCAAACACTGAAACGCTAAAGCCCTACATCCAAAAACAATCCTAAACCGCCGGCCCCCAACCCCTTGATGGATCTTTTAGGGTTTAGGGTTTAGGGTTTAGGGTTTAGGGTTTAGGGTTTAGGGTTTAGGGTTTAGTCAAGTCCCTTACAGGAACAAAAAACGAATCCCTTGCAGAAGCCCTGTCGACCGCTTATTCAGCCCCCCCTGAAAGGACCCCAAAAATACCTCCGAGACTCTAGAAACCCTAAACCCCAAAATCCTAAAACCCCATAAAAACCACTCAAACCCTGTAACACACCAAAATCCTAAAGTCCCATAAAAACCACTGAAACCCTGTAACACACCGAAATCCTGAAATCCCTTAACAAAACACTAAAACCCAAATCCTAAAATCCCTGAAAACACTGAAACCCTGAAACCCCTTAAGGAACCCCCGACCCCCAAATGAAGAAACCAAAGAAATTCGGCCCTCGGCTCGTCCTCAGCCCGGCCCCGTCCCACGCCACCTTCGAGCCCACAGGGAGGGTTTAGGGTTTTGGAGTTTAAGGTTTAGGGTTGGGGTGTGGTGTTTAGGGCTTGGGTTTAGGGTTTAGGGTTTAGGGGTTAGGGGTTTGGGGTTTGGGGTTTGGGGTTTGGGGTTTGGGGTTTAGGGTTTAGGGTGTAGAGTTTAGGGTTTTGGGGTTCATGATGGTTTAGAGACTGGGGGGTTTAGGAGTTTAGGGTTTACGGCTAAGCCCAAAACCCCAACCTCTAAAAACCCTAAACCCTAAACCCTAAACCCCAAAATTATGTTTAGAAGTTCCAACACCCTACCATCTGCAGCTTTTGCCCTTGGCAACGCGCAAGGTCGCACCACTCTAATGTGGGGGGGGGCCTTAATAATTAGAATAGGGTCTTGGCGGTTCCGGGTTCCTTGCAGGGTTCTACAATTCTATAATAAGGGCTACCAGAAAGGGTTTAGGGTTTAGGGCCGGCCCTTAATAATTAGAATAGGGCTTTGGGGCCCATTATACTAAAACTTCAATACGGAACCACGAAAATAATATAGGTAATTATTTAGGCCCCTATATTACGCGCTCAAACCTCAATCCGAAACGTGTCAAACTTTCAAAAAGAGTCCTTAGTACCTACTTGGGGATACTTCCCAAAATCAGATTTGTCGTTCCACCCTAAACCCTAAACCCTAAACCCCTAAACCGTAAACCCTAGACCCCTAACCCCCAAACCTTAAGCCCTACTATAGAAACCCTGCTTCCTGCTACGTAGTTACTTAGGAGCCTTTGGGTGTGGCAAGGTTCTTTAATTTAAGCGGTTCCACAGCGATTCTTAAAGGGTTCTTTCTGGGGCCTTATGAGGGTACTCTGGCGAACCCTAAACCCTGAACCCCTAAACTGTTCTTTTAGGGCTCTGTAGCCGAAGCTGCTGCTCCCGAATATGAGCGTTAGCTTGATGTTGAACGCTGGGTTTCGGGTTTAGGGTTTAGGGTTCAGCGTTGTGCCCGCGAGGATCACAGGTATGCAATGTAAACTCTACCCCTAAACCCCTGAATTATAGGATTTCTTTTTGGAGCCATGACACTTTAAGAAGGTTTCTTTGTCTTTTGGCACGACCATCACGACACTATGCCTGGTGGGGTACGAAAAAGGCAAAACGGGTATGATTATGATGAGAGGTGGACTTTTGTGTAGATTATCCTACACTCTTCTGAAACCCTAAGCCCTAAACCCTAAACCCTGAACCCTAAACCCTAAACCCTAAACCCTAGCCTAGGAGGGACGAAAGGAGATCTTGGAAATACTTCTTCAGACCAGTGCATTAGCTATAGAGGGGCTGTCAGTTCTGATCATCCATAGGTACTTAACTGCATATGAAAAGTTACAGGTTTAGGGTTTAGGTTGTGTTAAAGCCCCTGATGAGATCCTGAAAATAAACCTCAAGTCTAAGTCTTTACCACACCCTATTTATCAGACTCCTACAAACCACCAAACCCTCACAGAAGCAGTATGAACGCCCTAGATAGACAAATACCCCGAAAGGGAGACCCTAGTATAGAACCCGATAACACCCTTTAAGGGAACCCTTAAAGGAGCCCTTAAAGGAACCCTCAAAGGAACCCCCAAAGGCACCTCAACAGCTGTGGAGAGGTTGGCAAGGACGCGCTTCCGCTCGGCTGGGGCACTCCAGCCTGGGTTAGGACTCCCTGGGGATCCGAAAACCTACCGTTTTATGGGTTCTACCCTCTAATGATGAAGGTGTTATAACCTACTATTCTGTAGGGTTTGGGGTCACAGGTCAAGACAATAACAGCCAAGTTTAGGGTTTAGGGTTTGGGGTTTGTGGTTTAGGCTTTAGGGTGTTGTGAGCCCAATACCGCAAACCCTAAACCCTAAAGTTAGAGGTTCTAGGCAAGCTTTGTAAGGTCTGCCCAAAAATGCAAGTTTTACATGGGCTCTCAAGGCTGTGGGTTCAAGCTTCTGGGTGTCGGGTTCCCGTATGGCTTGAAATGAAGGTCTAGGGTTCAGGGCTTAGGGCTTAGGGCTTTGGATTTAAGGGTGGGTTTGCCTAGCGTAACGCAGCACCAAACACGCACCGGACGAACTTGGCGTACTGCCAGGGTTCTCTCAGAAAGGTGCGGTGCGCGCAGTGTCGTGATAAGAGTCTGCATTTAGGGGTTTAAGGTTTGGGGTTTAGGGTTTGGGGTTTAGGGTTTATGTTTAGGGTCAAGGAAGCAGCTTCGCCGAAAGCTCTTTGGAACACCGTGTCCATTTCACGGTGGGGCATCGATTCTGGTCTTGGCTTCCCTAGCCGGTCTTTTCTCATGCGGATGAGTGGCCGGTGTGTTGTTGAAAGTGTACGGCTTGTTCGAGCTTGAAGCGGCGTTTGAGCGAGGATTTGATATTAGCTTTGAAATAATTTAGAGTTTTGAAGCGCTCAGCACGTGTCATTCATCGAGCAGTGTTAGAGAAGGCTACACTGGGTACTGTAAGCATCTGCAAAAGCGTCATCACCGAATTCCTCCGAAAACAAATGCTGGACCAACACATGAATCCAAATCCCGTCTTCTATACTATGCTAGATACTATATACTGTACTTTGTGCTGTATACTATGTACTACATACTACATACTATATCCTATATCCTATATACTACGTACTACATACTATATCCTAGATCCTACATACTACATAATACATACTACATACTATACTAAACCCTAAACCCTAAACCCTAAACCCTAAACCCTAAACCCTAAACCGTGGGTCTTGGTTTGAGGAGATACCAGGCTCCTGAATTGCGTGCAGGCCCAAAGCCCGAAACCCGAGGCCCGAAGTCAGAACACACAATCCAGAGATCTAGCCCACAATCCGAATACAACGCCACGGTTTAGGGTTTAGGGTTTAGGGTTTAGGGTTTGGTAGGGTTTAGGGTTCAGAAAAAAACCCGACATTCCCAAACAGCCGCCCCCGAGCTGTCGAAGGAGCCGTCTGTGGGCAGCAACACGGAGCCTAAGCGCGGCATGGCCCTCCTCCCAGAAAAGAGAGGCGTTGGCTAGGGTCTGTACGCCTGTTTTGGCTAAGGATTTTAAGTTCAGGGGCTTAGAGCCTAGCATAGACGCCTGATGATTGAGGGTCTGGAAAGTTTTTCAGAGAACCCTGAGGACTTTCTTTCTTCGATAACTAATCAGTTTCAACAATCGGGACCGTATACAGGTTACTATAAAGGTTCCTCAAAGGCTTGCTATAGGGTTCCTTCAATGGTTACTATACGGGTTCCTTACTTTGAGGGTGCCTTTATGAAGCTTCTGGGTGTGGGAATGCTGGACCCTCATAGACCCGAATTGAGAGTTTAAGGTTTATGGCTTAGGCTGTCGACTATACAGCCTATACCCTAAACCCTAACCCCTAAACCTCCAAATCCGCAGCCGTATGCCAGCCCCTACCCCAAACCCAAAACCCTAAAGCAGAAGATCTGGGTACTTGTAGGGTTTAGAGTTTCTCGCCCAAGAAATCCTAAGTACCTCTATTATTGGGGATACAAATAATAGTACGTAATGCCTACCTATAGAAACCTACTTTCTGCTATGTAGGTACGTAGGACCCATTGCGTATGCGGACAAAGCAGGTCGGCAGGCTGTATTTATGCAGATATTGCAAAGGTTCCAGCCCTAAGCCCTAAACCCTAAATACTAAAAAACCCTAAACCCCAAATACTAACAAACCCTACAAGGGTTCAGGGTTTTGGGGGTATAGGCAGAGCCAGCTGGGGCTTCGAAGGCTTCTAAGAAGCATGCTCGCTTATGGTCGCCAGCGGGTTATAGCACCTCTTTTACTTAAAAACCCAGGTAAATCTGCGTCAAACCTACATAATACAGCAACTTCAACAAACACACACACAATGTATCTGGCTATCTGTCTGTCTATCTATCTATCTATCTATCTATCTATCTATCTATCGATCAGTCTATCTATCTGCCTATCTACCTATCTGTACCCATGTATGTATATATATATATACACACACATGTTATGGTGTGTATGATATAAAGAAGGTAAGTATTAGTATGCAAAACAAAAACTAAACAATTTAATAAATGAAATATACGTACATACATACGTACATACATATATATTCATTATATATATATATATCCCTGGGCACACCATTGCCAAACAAATACATAAAGCTTTTACAAAGCCACAGAAACATAGGAGGAAACCTTGTCGCACACTTCTGGAGCCCTTGTTACGCACCTAAAGCCTTTACAAACCGCGCTGCGCACGCCTGGCCCCGAAACCCTAAGCCCCAAACCCCAAAACACTAAACCCTTTTGCCCTAAACCCAAAACCCTTAAGCCCAAAACACCAAAAACCCTTGTAGAACCTGCAGATCCCTGAAAGGAACCCTTAAACAAACCCCTCCTTACACTGAACCCCCCAAAGCACTCAACCCTAAACCCTAAACCCTGAACCCTGAACCCTAGACCCTAAACCCTAAACTCTAAACCCTGAACCCTGAAAGGGTGTGACACACCTGGCCTCAAGGCCTCGTGAAGTTCTGCGGATTCCTTGGACAGTTCTTCAGTCTCTCGGGTTTAGGGTTTAGAGTTGAGGGGTTTAAGGTTTAGGGGTATAAGGTTTTGAGGTTTAGGGCTTAGGATTTAAGTTTTTAGCATTTAGGGTTTAGGGGTTTGGAGTTTGGGATTTAGGGGTTTAGGGATGCAGGTGTAGAGATGCAAACGGGTTTCGGGCTTCAAGAGCGAAGTTTAAGCAAGGTTTCACGACGTGCTGCTATATCATAAAGTTATAGCTACCATAAGCCCTAAACTCTAAAACGTTAGAAGACTACAAAGGGATCTACAGGTTCCATTGCCGTTCTTTGTTTCTGGGTACCTTCTTTTCACCATCCTACACCCCTGTAACACCCGATAACCCAACACCTCATACCTGGCGGGGCTCCAACTCCAAAGGAGTTTAGGGTGTAGGATTTAGGGTTTAAGGTCCAGCTGGAGATCAACTTCCGTACTATGTCCCCTCAGCCAAAGAAACATCTACCCATCGTATCGACACCTGTTAGGAATCTCATTTTCTGTTGAGCTTCCAAACAGGATCCTCCCTAGCCCGCAAGCCTTGTAACCCTGAGCCCTAAATCCTAAACCCAAAACCCCAAAACCCTAAACCCTAAACCCCTAAACCCCTAAACCCCAAAAAAGGATCCTGACTGCAATCCTTCTTAACGGAGGGGGGAGAGGAGTTCGCCAGCGGGGCGCGGTTTAAGGTTTAGGGGTTTCGGGTTTAGGGTTTAGGGTTTAGGGTTTAGGGTACTTGCACTACCCTTGCACGCAGTTCCGTTTTTCTCTAGTTAGTCTGACGGTGTGGACCGTATGGTTCGGGTTTCTGTGTCTTCCACTGGTTGAATCGGGTTTTGGGGTTTGCAAAGGGTTTGGGCATTTTGGAGATTTAGGAAATTTAAATTGAGAGTTTAGGGTTAGGGTTCAGAGTTTAGGGTTGATGGTTGAGAGTTTAGGGAACAGATGCTGGAGGGTCTAAACCCTAAACCCCCAACCCTAGGACAGTGACGGTCTAGAGTTGAGGGGCTGAGAGTTTATAGGCTCAGAGGCCTTGTGAAATGCAAGGTTTGTGGATGCCGCCAGGCCTTGTCCAAGTAGTATACAAATCTGAAGTTTAAAACCCGAAGACCAAAATCGTACGCTTTTAACCCTAAACTGAAACCCGAAAACCATTAAATATTACATCCTAAACCCAATACCGTAACCCTAAACCCTAAACCCTAAACCCTAAGCCCTAAACTCTTATGGGTTCCTTGAAGGATCTCTTAAAAGGAACTCTTAAACTCCAAATCCTTAAACATAAAACCTGAACTTCTTAAAGTTCTTAGTTTAGGGTTTAGGGTTTAGGGTTTAGGGTTTAGGTAACCCTGAACCCTGGGTTTAGGGTTTAGGGGTTCGGGGTTTAGCTGAACCCCAAATCCCTAGACCCCAAGCCTTCTTAACCCAAAGCACTGTCAAAGTCAAATTCTAGGAGACTCGAGAGGCCTGAGTGTCAATGGGCAAGACGCAGGGTTTAGGGTCTAGGGTTTTGGGGTTTCGTTCAGGGTTTAGGGTTTATAGGGTCTAGGGTTTAAGTGTTTCGTGCCTCTAAGAGCTCCTTTAAAATGGCTGCAGGGCTTAAGTACTTAAGCGTTTGAGGATTTCGGAGGTTAAGGTTTTTGGGGCTTTGTGGCTTTAAGGGTGTCGTTAAGAGTATCTTTAAGGCTACCTTTAAAAGGGGGGTCAATAAGGCGTCGATAAGGCTTCTACAAGGGATTTGGTTTTGGGTTTAATAGTTCGGGCTTAGTCTCCATGTAGTTCCCTCTTTGGCTAACCGGATTATGTTACGAGCTCCTGACCCAATAAGGTGGCTAACCCAAAACCTCTAATGGAGACTATAGGTGGCCATTACAAGGCTCAAAATAACGACCAACGGTCCAACTAAACGTGTACACAGTCGCACTACACAATTAAAGCAGGCATTCCTGCAAGAAGAACCATAGCTTAAAGGGGCGACAACATACAAGCAACAATTGGGAATAATGTAATAACGTGTGTGCACGGCAAAACTTATGAATAACCTTACAAGTTGTGAAGAGAGCAACAAACATGTGAACAATGATATCAATACGTGCAAAAACATTAAAGATAGCACAAGCAACTAGTTCTCTTCACAGCGAGTCACAAATAATCTAACCACGATGATAATAACACACCAACGATGGTAATGACCATGAATATAACAACAACGGCGAAAAAAGTAATTTCCTAAACCTTTAAACCCCTAAACCCTGAACCTTAAATTGATGCTTTGCCCAAGCCCTGAACCCTAAACCCTAAAACTCAGTCCCAGCGTCCAGTGCCGAGATTGGTGCTTGGGTGAGGTCTAAGCTCTCGATGAAGAAAGCGTGACGAGGCTGCCCTAAGCAAGAGGGCTTGAAACTGAGGATTTGGGGTTTAGGGTTTAGGGTTTCAGGTTTAGGGTTTAGGGTTTGGGGTTTGGGGTTTAGCGTTCAGGGTTGGGGTAGGGTTTAGGGCTTAGGGTTTTGGAGGGGATTCAGGGTTGGGTTTTTGGGGTAGGCGTTGACCGACTCCGTTGTTTGAAGGCACTATGGGGCTTGCAAAAGGACTGTAGGAGGCGTGGTGAGAATATGAGGGTCTGTGTCGGGTGTTGATGACATCTTTGACGCTGGCATGCAAAATTGCCTGAACCCTTTGGACCCTAAACCCTAAACCTTAAGAACCCAAAAACCCACGTTTTTGTAGGTTCTTATTATAAACCCTAATATGGGATTTATAGGGACCCTACAAAAAAGTAGGTTTTGGGTTCTTAAGGTAAACCTTAAACCCTGAACCCTAAACCTTAAACCCGACTTTCTGGCTTGAGATGGCTTCGGGACTTAGGGCGCAGTCCGTGCAGGCGTCGGCGAACAGATTTCATGGTCAAGGCGCGTAAAAGGGGTTTAGGGTTTAGGGTTTAGCGTCTATAGGAGTTCTAGAAGGGTTTGGGGTTTGGGGCTTAGGTTTTAGGAGGGTTTAGGGTTCTCAAAGGCTTAAGGGGCTTGGCACATTTGGTTCAACGGTTAGAAGTACCGTAACTGGAATGATATAGTACAGTTGGTTGCTTGACTGGTCACCCCACCTACAAAGGCGGTCGATCCTTTCAGTAAGCACTTGTGGGCTTAGGCTTTATGGGGGTTCAGCCCCAAAATTCTGAAGTGGACGCCTTTGGCATAACGGTTGCCGTGACAGAAGTGATAACTCAAGCCAACATTCATGAACCTCTCATCTCGAAGATTCCTAACCCTAAACCCTAAACCCTGAGCCCTAATTAAACCCTAAACCCCTAAGCACTAAACCCTGAACCCTAAACCCTAAAACCCTAAACCCCTAAAACCCTAAACCATCAATCCTCAACGCTGAGCCCTCCAGACCCTGCACACTGAACCCTAAAGCTTGATGAACTTTAACTTTAACTGCTGAACCCTGAGTCCGAGTGAGGGTTTAGGGTTCAGGTTTTAGGCTTTAGGGGCTACACCTTAAGGAAGATCTACATCTAGTCTCCTTTTGTAGCCCCGTCTTAACCTCCGGGGTCTAATCATACAGCTTGATTACCAAAAACACTCTCTAAACCCTAGACCCAAAAGATGTGAAGCCCTCTTCACCTGAGGTCCGAAAAAATGCAACCCAAAAGTCATGATCCTTACATAAGCCCCAAACCTGCAATCCCAGAAGCCACGCCCTACATCCAAAACCCAAACACTAAAGCTCACGCTATTCGAACACAAAGTCCTGCACCCGAAACCAAGGCGTAAACCCCATGCATGCCGTATCCCGGATCCCCTACAACATGAACCTAAACTGATCCCTGGATTCCAAGCTTGATGCCGTAAAAGTTAAGCCTAAAGCCCATATGCTACACCTAAAACCCTTAGCCCTGCACATGAAACTTAAGTCGTTTTAAACCTATAGCCAAACCCTAAACCCTAAACCCTAAACCCAAAACCCTAAACCCTAAACCCTAAACCCTAAACCCTAACGGTCTGGGGTCCTCTCGTTGAACGTCATATGTCACCTTGCACAACCCCTACAGTATCCTAGTTCCCAAGAACTGTGCCCTAGACCCTAAACCCTGAACCCAAAACCCCAAGCCCTAGACCCCAAAACACTAAAAAGTGGGGCTCTGGTACAGGGCTCTGGTGCAGCTAGGGTGCTCAAGAAGAGGACCAGCCGACGACTGACTGCATCCTGCCTCAGATGATGCGGGAATCCTTAACCCAAAACCCCTGAGCCCTACGCCCCTGAACCCTAAACCCTAAACACCTAAACCCTAAATCCTAAACCCGAAGCCGTACATCCTAAACCCTAAACACCTAAACCCTAAGTCCTAAACCCGAAGCCTTAAATCCTAAACCCTATAGCTCCTTAGTCCTTAACTGTTGCCTCGACGAACTCTTGGCGATCCTCGACCTTCTGTCTAGCCCCTTGGATCGCCCTTGGCACCAACCATAAAGAACCCGGATAGTACCCTTATAGAAGCCCTACAGAAACCCTCTTAGATCCCTTTGAAGGGACCCACAAAAACCCTTATAGATCCCTCTAAAGGGACCCCAATTTAGAGAACTACCCATAAACCCTAAACCCTAAACCCTAAACCACCCATAAAGTACCTAAGTCGAAGCCTTGGCACCAACTTCAGTCGGAGTCCTTTTGGGAGCGGCTGGCTCCTTTGTGCTCGGTGGTTTAAAGCTTAGGGTTTAGGGTTTTAGGGTTTAGGGTTTAGGTTCCAGCCTGGATCTGCTCCATACATCTCGCTGGTGCTGCTTCTCCAGGAGCCGGCGTGGCCCGGAGTCCAGATAAACCCTATAAACCCTAAAAGCCCTATAAACCCCACAAGCCCTATAAACCCTAGAAGCCCTATAAACCCTACAAGCCCTATAAACCCTAGAAAAACCTTAGAAGCCCTATAAACCCCATAAGCCCTATAAACCCTATAAGCCCTATAAGCCCTATAAGCCCTATAAACCCTTCAAGCCCTATAAACCCTATAAACCCTAGACGCCCTAGAAGCCCTATAAACCAAATAAACCCTATAAGCCCTATAAACCCTATAAACCCTAGAAGCCCTAGAAGCCCTATAACCCTTAGAAGCCCTAGAAGCCCTACAAAACCCTATCAGCCCTATAATTCCTATAATTCCTATAATTCCTACAATTCCTATAAGCCAGCAGCTTTTGCCACGTCCCTCGCGCGAGCAAACGCCGAAGGCCCACGAGGGCTGATGATGCGGGAGCTAGTTTGGAAGGGACTCTACCCTAAGAACCCAAGACCTACTTTTATGTAGGGTCCCTATACATCCCATATTATTAGGGTTTATAATAAGAACCTACAAGAAAGTGGGTTTCGGGTTCTTAAGGTATGGGGTGGCTCTTGACGGTTTTAGGGTCTCGGGTTTTTGGATTTGGGTTTAAGGTAGTTGGGCTGAGGCCCTAAACCCTAAACCCTAAACCCCTTAACCCCTAAACCCCTAAACCCTGCATTGACAAGCTCCATAAGCCTCCTCAGGTCCTCTTGGTAGAAGCCCTAAAGCCTTAGACTGACAAATCCTACAGCCCGTAATTAAAGAAATCTTCAACAAACCGGTATCCCAAATCCTAAACCCTAAACCCTTAAATCCCCCTAAACCCTAAACCCTAAACCCTACACCCTTAAATCCCACTAAACCCTAAACCCTAAACCTTTAAATCCCACTAAACCCTAAACCCTAAACCTTTAAATCCCCCTAAACCCTAAACCCTAAACCTTTAAATCCCCCTAAACCCTAAACCCTAAACCTTTAAATCCCACTAAACCCTAAACCCTAAACCTTCAAATCCCACTAAACCCTAAACCCTAAACCTTTAAATCCCCCTAAACCCTAAACCCTAAAGCTCGGTAAGCGGCGACATTGGACGCACGCGGCCCGAGCGAGTGCCTTTCTGGAAGCGTGGTTCGAACCTGGGCTAGGGGAATGATGTTAAGGGTTTAGGGGTTTTGGGTTTAGGGTTTAGGGTTTAGGGTTTAGGGTTTATATCGTTTAGGGTTTAGGGTTTAGGGTTTAGGGTTTAGGGTTTGGGGTTTAGGGTTTGGGTTTAGGGTGTAGGGTTTGGGGTTTGGGGTGTAGGGTTTAGGGTGTAGGGTTTGGGGTTTGGGGTTTGGGGTTTAGGGGTGGGGTCCTTTGAGAGATCTATGGAGCCCTTTGAGGGTTCATTTAACTAAGGTTTTGAGTACTTCACTAAGTTCAGTGGTTCAAAAACTATACCACTTTTTGGGACGCGGGGTTGGGATCCCTAGGGGTCCCTTATGGGTTCTATCCTACACCCGAAACCCTGAAAACAGAAGTCCTAAACCCCTATACCCGCAAAAAACAAAAAAGGTGCACTTGTAGGAGCCTCGTCGTCTCCTCTGAAACCAACACCCGCCCTAAACCCTGAAGCCTAAACCCTAAGCCCACAATCAGGTTCTAAACCCCGCACCCTCAACGCCAAAGTCCCCGAAGCCCTCCGCGAAACTCTGAACCCCAAAACTCTGAACCCCTTAAAGACTGTAAACCCTAAACCACTCTAAGCTCGAAAACCCTAAAGTCTAAACCCTGAACCCCGGCACCAAACAGCAACCCTAAACCCTAAACCCAAAGAGCCGCCAAACAAAAGAAGCTGCCCAGGAGCTCGATAGGGTCGTAAACAAACTCGCGGCAGCGGAGCCATGTGACATACCTGTGGTGCTTAAATCGTGGGCACCAGGGCCGTTTAGGGTTTAGAGTTTAGGGTTTAGGCTGTTTAGGGGTTTAGGGTTTAGGGGTTAGGGTGTAGGGTTTAGGGTGTAGGGTTTAGGGTTTCGGGTGTAGGGTTTAGATTAGGGGTTAAGGTTAACTGGGTTGTAATCTTAGGGCCCCTAATATTTATAAATAGGTACCTGTATAAGAACCATAAGGGACTTTCCCAAAGTGCCACCGAGTTACTCTAATTAGGAGCCTGAAGCACTGGATTAAATAGGGTTTGTTGGCCTGGGGGTGGCCTATAGCAAGACTGTAACAGCAGATAGAGGTTTGAGTATTATGACTCCTAAACCCCTATATCAAGTGTAGATGTCTCTTACAATATTGATCCCATGCACCTCTTCATCGTTGATGATCAGGCACACAAAGAGAGGAAGGACTTGTACGGATGTTGCTCTTAGGTTCCGCCTGTGTATGGCCTCGCACCCTTATGAGGATGATCATCGCTATCCGAAGATGTTTCGTCATCAGAAGGAGGATCGATGACATGCCGAACATGGTATTCGGCTATCTGGACAGCACCAGCTGAAGGCGTCTTCCCTTTGAAATATCCGCTCCAATTCCTGCCTGCCGTTTGTTGGTAGGCTTCCGTGATCAATCCTACAGCTGCCAGAAGCATTGGACAATCTCTTCCCAGATCAGACATTGTCGTCCGACCACTACAGAAGTCAGGATAGAATCCCACCTCTTCGGCTTCCGTATCGGACAACACTTTCATGATGTCTTTGTAGAGATTATCAAGGAGAGGTTTCTCCATCGCAGCAGGCGTATCCGTATAGACCCCGGGCAAACGTAGCGTGAAGATATTGTGGATGCTACGGAAGCCAAGCATTCCGCGTCCGTGCGCCAATTCAAGGAGCATATCTGAAGTTGTACTTATCATTGGGGTTCCAAGGGAGTTTCCGTTCCTCAATGCCCTTATGAATTCGGGTCCATGTTTCGATATCAATGTAAGAAAACCTCGGTTCAAGAACAGGCGATGTGCTTTCGCGAAAGCAGTTGCCTAAACCCCTAAACCCTGAACCGTAGTTAGGACCCTTTCAAGCCATGGTGTTGCGGAAGAGTCCTGGAGTGTTGCAGAAGGGTCCTGGAGTGCCCGAACCTTGGGATTTACGATTTAGGGCAGGGGTGCAGGGTGTAATCTAGGGGCCTCAATAATTGGAAGAGGGTTCGGGGCCTATTAAACTATATTTATAATGAGGAACACTAAACATGATGTCGGTAAATTATTTAAGGCCCCTACAGCACAGGGTTTGGGGTTTAGGGTTTGGGGTCCAGGAGCTTCGGAAGTTTAGGGTGTGATCTCGTTTGAAGGGGTTTAGAGTCCATTGCACTTTCTTGGATGTAACCAGAGGCTTAATGAAGGGCCTCTTATTCAGCATTCTTGCTAGAAGTAATCTAAGAAGTGCAGCTTCTTTCATGAACCTCCGCCCTTAACCCTAATCCCTACACCCCTAAACCCTGAACCTCTAAACCCTAAACCTCTAAACCCCAAGACATTCATGACGGCTTTTATTGGTCAGAATGCTGTGTGGGATTATCGCGCGAACCCAGAGACTCATCTAGGCGCCTGACATAATAGGCCGAGGGCTCTGGCGTGTTTCGGGTTCTGGGTTTAGGGTTTAGGGTTCAGTCCTACATGAACCCTAAACCCTAGAGTCCTAAACCCGTAAGTCCTAAACCGTACATAAAGCGTGAGCCCTGCATCCCCAAACCCGTAAATTACCAAAACCGCATCGAACCCGTCGAAGGAATCCTAAACCCTTAACCCTAAACCCTAAACCCAAAGCCCTAAACCCCAAACCTCAGAGCCCGAAACAAATGAGACCCTTCAACATAATCCCAACTCCCAGATCTGCACCTGAGTAGTTCTTTAAATTAGGGTCCCCTGTTTAGCTGAAATAGGACGGCACCCCTTATAAACGGAACCCTAAGAAGGGACCCTAATTTAGAGAACGACTACCCGCAACCCTAAACCCCCTAAACCCTAAACCCTAAACCCTAAACCTTAGATAAATCCGCACCTCACCACGGACGCCGCTGACTTTGAGGCTGCACGCAGCCAGCAACAGTCGGCGAAGCCCAGCCAGACCAACAAGCCTTGGACAAGGCTTTCATTATTCCTTAGGGCCGTAGGGTTCCTTTATTATTGTATTTTACTTTTACCATACTATACTATACTCTACTAGACTATACTGTACCATACCATACATGTAGGTTGGGTACTGCCCCCACCCCCCGTGACAGTCTATACTATCAGGGGTCATAAACCCTAAAAGGCACCCTAAACCCTAATAGGGTTTAGGATGTAGGGTTTTATGCAACTGTACAAAAAGACAGTATCTAACTATTACAGAGCCTGGGAGGGTCTAGGGTTTAGGGCTCTTATAAGGGATCAATAAGGGTAATTATTGTAACTGTGCTTATAGTTGCTCTTAACGCCACTATACTAAACCCTAAACCATAAACCCAAAACTCTAAACCCTAAACCCACTTAAGACTAAAGCCAGACTAGCAGCCCTTGCCGGGTCCAGGGTTCAGGGCTTAGGTTCAAATCAGGGCTCTTTCAAAGGATCTACAAGGGTTTGGGGTTTAGTGGCTGGGATTTGGAGTTTAGTGTTCCTGCAAGTACTATAGGGGCCTTCATTCGCCGAACCTAAGACTTAAGGGGGGCTGGTCGACCCACACATGATAAGACGAGAGTTATAAAGTATGGTATGGTATAGTATAGTATAGTGTAGTATAGTAAAGTGTAAGTACAATAAAGTAATAGAAGAACCCTAAGGAATAATGAAAGCCTTGGACCTCTCTAGGTGTATGACTAGTGTTTTAGAGGGGTTTGTACTACTTGGTAGTTTGTGTTACAAGGGCTTTTCTGAGTGTTCCAAAAGGTTTCAAGTAGATTTCCAAAACATGGGGGTCTAGTAGTGTTTCCGGCTTCGGGTAACAAGTTTTGGGATAGATCTAATCTGCATTGACAGGTTTCATAGAGGATTCCCTGATGGCTTGTTAAAGGTTTCTACAAAAGCCGTCGTGGGATAAACCCTAAACCCTAAACCCTAAACCCTAAACCCTAAACCCTAAACCCTAAATCCCAAATCCTAAACCCCTAAACCCTCGACCCAAAACCCCACATCCGGTGCTGCTGCTGCTGGTGCTGGCGATGGCGTTAATCCCTAAACCCTAAACCCTTAAACCCTCAATCCTAAACCCTAAACCTTTAAACCCTCAACCCTGAACCCTAAACCCTTAAACCCTCAATCCTAAACCCTAAACCCTAAACCCTAAAAGCCTCAACCCTAAACCCTAAATCCCCAAACACTCGACTCTAAGCTCCACTTTAGAGCGTACCCACAGAAATAGCGGTGTTAGGGTTTAGGGTTTAGGGTTTAGGGTTTAGGGTTTAGGGTTTAGGGTTTAGGGTATACCCCTGAACCCTAAACCCCAAACCCTACACTATAGTCGGCCCGACTGCGATGGGCTGCCACAGCACGTCAGGGTTCTTGAACTGCTAGCCAGAGGTGAAGGAAGAATCACTCTGCCAGCGCAGGCCGGTTGCGGAAGTGTTACAAAACACGCGGCTGCGCACCCTCCACTGAAGAACTACCCAGCCTGCGGCAGCACAGGTCAAAACAGGAGGATTGCCAATCGGGAGCCTGAAAGCAAAGAGCGAGAACCGAGGCAAGCATGGACGAACGTTCAGCAGGCACACCCGGCGTTGTCTGATGAGGGGTTTATATAGGGGCTTAAAATAGTCGTGCACAATCGCTAACGTGGCCGTTACCTTGCTTTCTTATCACACGATCGTCAGGGAGGATTTTGCGAACCTATGCCCGCAAAGAGACGATCACTTATAGCGCAACAACACGTTGATGAAGATCCTGACAAAAGAACCTCAAGCCTTACACCCTGATAAACCCTAAGTGACAGAAATCCCGAGCAGCGATGAGAGAGCAAACCTAAACCCAGAGGCCTGAACTCCATAAAACCAAAAAAACTTTTCATAGCACCCCTTGAAGAGTTCTAAACGCTAAAGGAGATCCTTAAGGGAGACCTTAGGGAACTTTTAACACCCTAAACCTTGGGATTTGGGATTACACCTGGTCTCTCGGGCCCGGGTTAAACCCTAAACCTTAAACCCCGAAACCCAAAGCCGAACCCCCTAAACCCTCAACCCAAAGCCCTATAAACTATACACCCTACGAACCCTAAATATGCGGTACGTGGGTTCAGAGTTTGGGTTGCTAGGATCGCAGAAGATCCCACAGTTGAAGCCCAATCCCTCGACCTATAGCGACTACCTAAACCCGACGAAAACCTTCCTTTTTGAGGTTCCCTATTATGACTTAGAAAGGCAGGTTATTTGGGGTCCAGGTGGCCCTAGATCCTAAGCCCCTCAACCCCGGAACTCTACACCTCAAGATAAGGTTCAGGGTTTAGGGATTAGGGTTTAGGGTTTAGGGATTAGGGATTAGGGATTAGGGCTTAGGGCTCGGAACCCGTTCATGACCCTGACACGCCCTCATATACCCTCTCAACAGATCGAACCTCCGTTTAAAGACTCTTTTATATACCCTCTTGAACCCTGACCCATCGCGTTAATAACGCCCTACAAAACTCATATAACACCTGCTAAACTCGTCGTACACCCTTTCGAAACCCTTTTCTGAATCTTCCTTGGCCCAGCTGGGGCACATCTCCCGGCGTCTGCGCACGCGAGACCGAACAGTTCCACCTCTGGCTCGGGCATGACGTAGGCCTGCAGGTCTCCCTTAAGGTTTGGGGTTTAGGATCGAGTTTGATGTTGGAGGTTTGGGTGGTTCAGGGTTATGGGGTTAATAGCTCCACAAAGGTATTGGGACCCTAAATGAACTTGGTTTAAGCTGCCGTAATCTGGATGTTATTGAGTCTGCTTCAGGATTTACTACATTATGCAGGGGCATGCGACGATGACCAAACCTTAACCCCAAACCATACAAAGAAAAGCTCCTGCAGACGCCACTACAAGCCTTGCGGACGCTGGTAACGCCCAGCCCAAAGCCCTAAACCCTGAACGCTGAACTCTAAACCCTGGAACTAAACCCTAAACCCCAAACCCTCCACCCTCGCCCTTTCGCGGACGCCTGCCTCCCCACTGGAGCTACTTGGAGTCATGCTCAGGGCAAACGCCTGCACCGTCCCGGCGGCGCTCTGGTGTTTAGGGTTTAGGGTTTAGGGAAAGTTTTGGTTTGCGCTGTTTAGGGTTTAGGGTTTACGGCTTAGAATTTCTCATGCGACATGTTTTTGCAGAGAGCCTGTCCCAACCGTTTTGTGCAGGGTCAACAGTTCTTTATAAGGATCGTTGCGAGGTCCAGCAACTGCTCTTTAAGGGTTCAAGAATGTTTGTTCAGAGGAAGACTCTGCAAGGTCGTTGTAAGGGCTTTATATATATCCGATAGATTGAATCCTAAATCCTAAATATCCTAAACCCTAAACCCTGATCAGATCCGATCAGACTTCTCGACGGCCTGCATAGGGGTCTTGTGCAGTCTTCAATGACTGGGTTCTGAGTTAGGGAAGTAGTTTAAGTTACCATAATAAAGAAGCCCGATTATTCACTATCGGTCCCTATTATGATAACTTAAACCGGGTTCCTTAACAAGAACCCAGATGAGGGCTATCTGCGGGAGCTGAGGCTGGATTTCAGCTGTAGGGTTTAGGCTCCAGGCAACATGACGAATTCCTGTGAAGTCGGGTAAGTCCCCCTCCAACTCTGCGAGAATGAACTAGCAAAATCAGTGGTCGCACTTCCTCAAAGCTGGCTGCTCCATCTGAGTGGCGTCCTGGATGCAGGCCAACATCAGGGGGTGACCACGGGCACACGACAAGATGGTGCCTTGAAAGTTCGTGCTTGCAGCAGTTGTTCCCGATCGTCATGATAAGGTGCTGCGCCCCGTGCTGAATACGGCCACCTGACTCGCCCAATATGCGGTCAACGGTGGCAGCCAAGGGTCGAAACAGACGGATCTTTAAGGTCCTACAAACCCTAAACCCCAGAAGCCCCATCTTAAAGCATACAAATCCAATCTTGAACCCTCGAATTCGGAGAAATACTCACCTAACCCCTCTAAGCCCAATCTCAAGCCCCATAAATCCCATCGCAAGGCACATCAATGCTAGCTTAAACCCGATAAATGTCAGAGCGGCGTATAAGACCATCCTAGAACCAGCGCCCTTTGAAAGACCCTCACCAGAAAACTTGCTTAAGGACCCGGTGCAGAACCCTGGAAAAGACCACCTGTACGGGAACCCCAAGTGATAGAACTTGATAAAACCACAATGCAGACTGGTTTCGCGGGCCTTTGATTTAGAGCTGGGAAGAAGCAGTAGCAGTATCCCCTTGTATTCCTATACATCACCATACTACAATACCTCAAAACCGTATTCTGACCTCCGAACCTATACAAACCCGCGTAGAAAGCTGACGCAACCAACCCTCAGAGAAAACTCGCTTCAACCATTGTAACCCTAAGCCCCAAACCCTAAACCCTTAAATCCTAAACCAAAGCCGCCATCCCCAGGGGTAGCCCTACCCTCATGCAGTAAAAACCGCAAATATAGGTCAATGTAGGTCCCCTAGGAACCCTTAGAGGAACCCTTATCCAAGCCTCAAAAGATCCGTCAAGCGAACCTATCATATAACAAAACCCAGGCTCTAACCCTGAATCCCTGAACCAACAACCCTAACACCACCACAGCCCCTAAGAAACACCGAAAACCCCAAACCCTGAAACCACCAAAAAAAAAACAACAACCCCTGAAAACCCAAACCCAAAAGCTCAAACCCTGTGCCCCCTTTTTCCCCAGCAAACCCAAACCCAAAAACACCCCACAACCCCTTGACCGCCTAAGAAGCCCTATCCCCTAAACCCCGAAACCTCAAATCCTAAAACCCTGAAACCCTAAACCCAAAACCGTCAAACCCTAAACCCTAAACCCTAAACCCTAAACCCTAAACCCTAAACCCTAAACCCTAAACCCTAAACCTAAAACTTCTAAAACCCTGAAGCCCAATGAGCCCCAGCCTTGGAAGCCCTATCAAGCTTCGTGGGCTTCTGTGCTATGCTTCGCCGCGCTCGCTTCCTGGCTGGGTTCCTTTGGGAGTTCCCGTGCCCAAAAGGGTCGAAAGTACCTTAGGAATTTCTACTAAGTATCCCGCATAAAAGTACATAGGACCCTTTGGGGCAAGGTTCAGATTCAGGTGTCGTTTGGGGTCTGGCCTTGGGGGGTTTCAAGGTTTTGGGATTTAGGGTTTCAGGGTTTGGGATTTCCGTTCAGAGTTCCCGGAACAGTCTCCGTTAATGGTCTTCTTTACAGGTCCTCATGGGTCTCCTGTAAGGTGTCCTGTAAGGGCCTCCTTCAACGTTCATCGTCATTATCGAGTGTAAAGAAGTTTGGCAGAGTTTGTTGGTCCTTGGCGGGCCCTTGTCGGATGTTGGGAGTAAAACGCAATATAGGGGCCTACATGATTACCTCTTCTGTGTTGGGGGGGGCTTCTTATCATACTGATGGTATAGTATACCCCGAAACCAATTCTAATTATTAAGGCCCCTATGAACCCTAAACCCTAAACCCTAAACCCTAAACCCTAAACCCTAAACCCTAAACCCTAAACCCTAAACCCTGGTATGTCCGCGAGTTTAGGGTTTCAGGGTTTAGGGTTTGGATCTTGCTCTGGAGCTGCAGAGCTTATGTGGAGGCATCTGATTATCGGATTCCGGGTCCTCGTTTTACCCTCAACCCTACTCCTTAAACCCTATAACTATATTGTAAAACCCTAAACCTTAAACCCTAGTCCCTAAACCCGGTAAGCCCCAAACCCTCAATCCGAATCCTTCCATCTAAGCTCATCGGGCCCCGTTTGCAGTTTGAGCACCCATATGCATGTACATATAAAGAAAATGAGATCATAGAATCATATATGTACATAGTGTGTATATATATATATAGATATATACATATGTATATATACACATTCTACGCTCGTCTCATCAGGGTGTAAACTGCCTTCAGTATGAAAGATTCAGGCCGGCAAACTAAATCCTAAACCCTAAACCCGAAGTTATGCGGTAGTTATGCTTTGTCTGGCATTGCGGCAAGGAGTTTTGCACAGCTCTAACCCCCAAGGGCTTGGCCCTGCACCCCTGAACACCCAAACTCCTAACCCTGAAACTCCTTAACTCCAAATCTCCAAGGCCCGAAGCCCTAGCACTTCAGCGCTTCGTGTTTAGGGTTTAGAGTTGAGGGTTTTGGGTTTATGGGTTTTGGGTATAGGGTATGGGGTTTAGGGTTGTGGGTTTAGGGTTTAGGGTTTATGCGTCCCTTACACGGTACTTTAGATGAGCAAGGGCCCCAAACCCCAACCATGGATGGCGCTAACCCGAACCCTCCATATACGTCACATGTTAATCTCTTCGCTGTCTCGGACATCGGGGAGGATTTCGCGTCAGGCGAACTCGTGGGAGTAGGGGACGACGATGCAGCCGAATCTCCTTTGGATTTCGCGTCAGGCGCACTCGTCGCCGTAGGGGAAGAGAATCTCCTTTGTGCTTCTTGGCAGCTCCAAGACTCAATGCACGATCCAACAGCGTCACTGGCTGCCGAAGACCAGCACCTGAAGACCCGACACAACTCGTTACGAGCAAAGCACACGTCGGTGGAGGAGCTGGTGGGTCATAAATACCGTCACGAACCAAAACGGAGTGTGCGTTATTGTGCGCTTTGCAGGACTTCTCTGCTCGCACTAGCTTCTTCAGAGCCATGAGATCTGCCCTAAACCCTAAACCCTAAACCCTAAAGCCTAAACCCTAAACCCTAAACCCAAGTTGCACCGGTGCCCATGACCCACTTCATCTCCGGCAGGGCGCAGGGCACAGGGCACAGGGGCAGGGCGGTTTTTTGAACCTCCAACCCGAATAATTGTGTACTTAGGCCATATAAAAGATACCCCTAAACCCTAAACCCTAAACCCTAAAACCTAAACCCTGAACCCTAAACCCGAAACTTTAAAGTCCTGAAGCCCTCAAAGAAATGCTAAAAACCTAAACCTTCCAAACAGTCGACCAATATCCTGAAACCCCCGACGCCCTGGATGCTTAAGAACCCCTTTTGAAGGAACTCTTAAAGGAATCTAAACCTCAACCCTACTCAACCCTCAACCCTCAACCCTAAACCCTCAACCCTAAACCCTGCAGCCCTAAATCCTCAAAGCCCTAATATTTCCGCCTCGCCGGCTCTTCCTCGGCACCGTCGATGCCCCAGAGGACACGAAGGCGCCTGAGGAAGCGCGGGAGTCGGCTTATAGTGGCGGCCTGGGCTTCAGGGTTTCGGGTTTATTTTTTAGGGTTTAAGGTTCAGGGCTTAGGATTCTTTTAAACGGCTCTTAGAAACGATGTATAATCATCCATGCTAGGAAGGTTTTTAAATGAGTCCTCTGATCGTCATCCTGCTCGATGAGAAGGCGATGTACCTGTTCTGGCGCGTCAGGAAGCTCGTCACCAAGTCCAAGGGCTCGGGCGCGTAGATCTTCTCGCTCTGGCTCGCGACAGCTCTCCGAAGATCAGCTCGCAGACGCTCGCGAGCGGATCGGGTAGGTTCCTCCAATGCCCGTGAGGCCGACTGCCGTAGGCATCCAGCTGCCACACCTTGTCCGTGAAGGGGGCCCTAAACCCTAAACCCTAAGCCCTAAACCCTAAACCCTAAGCCCTAAACCCTAAACCCTAAACCCTAAACCCAAAGCCCAAACCCTAGACCCCAAGTCCGTGAAGGGGGCGAGCCCGATCTTCGCCACACGCCCCAGGTTGACCACGTGGTTCCGCGACTCGAAGCGGTAAGGTCTCAGAGGTTTAGGGTTTAGGGTTCAGGGTTCAGGGTTTAGGGTTTAGGGTCCCTCCAGCCAAACCTGGCGGTAGGCATCATGGTTGAGCTGACTGATCTCTTTGAAGGGTGCCGGGCTCTGTAACGGTTCCATGATACGGGATATATAAGGGTTTTAGACGGTTTGATGGGGGTTTAGTGGTCTTAAAAATCATAACAGGGTGTTGGGCTGAGGGTTTAGTGATCTTATAAGGGTTCTGCAACGGCTCTGTAAGTTTTGTAGAGCCCTAAACCCACCTCCTAGAACCGTTATGGGCAACCCTTAACCCTAAACCCTAAACCCCTCGACCCCTCAACTCCTACACCCCTAAACCCCTAAACCCTAAACCCTAAACCCAAAGCCCTAAACCCTTATGGGAAACCTGGGAGGCTCTTTTAAAGAAACCCGAAGAAGCCCCTTTCACGAAACCCCAACACACGAAAACAACGATCTATACTCCTAAACCCTAAACCCTAAAACCCTGCCCCGGTTTAAGGAGCCCTGGGCGATAATAATACTTATTAGGATATGGAGTTTAGAGTCTAGGGTTTAGGGCTTTAGGGTTTTAGGGTGTAGTATAGGGCTTTAGGATATGACATCTTAGGGTATTAGGGTTTAGAGTTTTCGGGAGCAGTATACTTCGATTCTCTTCAATATTGATGTACTATAATCGGGAAATCAAGGGAGCTGGTGGAGGGGCCTTAATAGGCAGAACAGGCTTTTGGGGCCCATTATACTATACTTATAATCAGGAGCCCCCACAAAATAGAAAAGGTACTTATTTAGGCCCTTACATTCTGACCCTAAACCCTAAATTCTAAACCCTATTCAGGCCCTTACATTATGACAGATGGTTCAAGGCCCTTTACTAACCCCAAAGAGTGTCCCAAGCGCCTCCTTCGCTCAGCTTGGGAGCATTAGAATTTGAACCCTCAGCCCTGAGCGTAATGTAGGGTCTTTAATAATTAGACTAGGGTTTTGGGGGTTCTATATCCTAATTATTAAAGCTCCTATACTCGAATTTAGGAGTTTTGTGGTTTCAGGGCTCCGAAGCAGGGGGGGGGGGGGTTATTGGTTCTAGGGTCAAGGTTCAAGCCCTACGCTACACCCTAAACCCTAAACCCTAAACCCTAAATCCTAAACCCTAAACCCTAAACCGCTATGGAACTGCGAGACTCGTGCAGGAACTCTGAAAGGAGCCTTGAGGGAACGCCCGCAGCCGTATAAAAATCCTGTGAAAGCAATCCAAAAAACCCTTAGAGCCCCATAAGATCCTGCAAACCCCCAAAATCCTGTAGAACCTTCAAAACGGTATCCCCCCCAAAACCTCACCCTATAGGAACCCTAAACCCTAAAAGTCTTTAGGGGCTTGGGGTTTAGGTTTAAGGGGTTTAGATTTCTCTATGCCCTAAGCCCCAAAACCCCAAAACCCTAAACCCCTTAACCCCTAAACCCAAAACCCTAAACCCCAAAACCCCAAAACCATAAACCCTTAAACCCTAAACCCTGAATGCGCCTCTTCAGCTCCGCCTTGGGAAGCGACCGAAGCTGCTCGGCCAGGCGCCTCGCCGCGGAAGCGTCCAAGCCCAGTGCCTCCTGGCAAGGAGTTCGCTAGTTTAGGGTTTACATTGCAACTCGGCTTGACAAACGAGGCAATCCAAACAAATCAAAATTATTTTTGACTACTACGACCGGCACGAGTCAAAGAAGAGGTGCGCCTCGAGGGGGGGGGGGGTGTTAAGCAGGAGGGGAGGGGGGGGGGGTCTCTCTTGGAAGGGGGGGGGTGCTCCTCAAGAAAAGGAGGAGGCTGTTTCTTGAGAGGGGGGGAGGGGGGGGGGGTACTCCTCGAGCACCCCCCCATCCCGCTAGCGCTATCTGCCCTGTAAACGCCCCCCCAAGCTTCACGACTTGAGACGGCCTCCAACTGACAAGGATTGGGCCCCCCAAGCCATCGTGGTTTGAAGCGAGTCTGGGGCCCCTGCAACTGTGCAATCCTTCACGACTTGACAGGGTTTAGGGTTTAGGGTTTAGGGTTTAGGGTTTAGGGTTTAGGGTCTGGGGTTCTCTAACTGGAGAAGGCTTGAATCCAATCCTCCACCGGCGCAAGACGTAAATGTTGCTTGGACAGGGATTCGAAGCCAAAAATCCGCAAATCAATGACCGGGCCCTTCAGCCCAGAACGCACCCGCAACGCAAACCCTAAATTTTGCTTGGGCAAGGATTGGGGCCGGACAAGGATTGGGGCCCCCGAACCCTTCACGACTTGGGGCGGTCTCCACTCGACAAGGATTGCGGCCCCCCAACCGTTCGCGACTTCAGGCGACCTCCAATTGGACGAGTACTATGAAAGGCCCCCCAACCCCTAAACCCTAAACC